TTCTTTCAAGAAAATTACCATATAAGGAAATTTTCAAGAAATCAGTAGTGAACGGGTGAGAGTTTTTTTTTTTATATATATACATTTAAAGTTTTATTTAAATTAAATAATATTAATTTATACTTAAAAAAATATTATAAAAACATTTGCAATAAATTGTATATAAAAATAATCTAATTTAAATTTTACAAGTAAAATTTAATTAAATGGTATTTTTATAATTATATCTTTTATTTTTATAAATTTTATTATAATTTAATACAATTGTTTAAAATATTAACTTATCTTTAAAACCTTACTTTTATATATTTTATTTCAAGATTTTTAAAACATATGTTGTAAATTGTTAAATTTGATTTAAACTTATACTTTTATTAAGTAAAATAAATATAATATAATAATATAAAAAATTCAATTATTTTTTAACATATTTTAATTTTAATATTAAAATGATAAAATAAATATATTGATTGCCATTAAAAAAAGATTTATCAATTAATATTATAAGCTATAAAGTGTAAAATAAGATTATATTTATTTTAAATGATTGTATCAAATGTTTATAACTAAGAATCTTAAGTATTTTCTTTAATTTTATATTTGATTTTCAAATTTATATTAAATTTAATAGGTGGGATATAATTCACTATCATTTTTAATGATGTTCCTAACCTCATGTGATTTTATGCAATTCTGTTTGTGATTTCAATTTTTGAAACCCTATTCGATTACGTGATCTACAAGGTCACGTTTTTTATTAACAAGTTGAATCAAAACAAGTCATCTAAAAGTTTGCCGGATTATTATTATAAATTAAGTATTGATAAAACAAAAAAAAAAAAAAAGCATTTTAGTATTAATAAGACCATAAAAATTTTTTATCTTTCCTAATGTTTTAATCTTATAAAATAAACGAGGCCTTAACAATTTAGTAGCAAATCATAATTTATAACATACCACCGTATATCAATCGGATTCTTAATAATAATAATAATAATAATAAAATTTTCATGTTGATGTTATTTTCTGTTATCTGGTACTGTTAGAAATTTCAATAATACAGTAATAAATATTGGATTTTGAAAAAAGAACGCGACACTGTCTGTTACGATTTGACACCCCACACCTCTTCTTAGCAACAACGTTTGAATAATCGTTGTTATCAATCATGAATAAAGTGTAAAGATCCAATGATTGCATTATTGAAAATTTGTCTGGAATCGACTTTCTTGGCCATACTACATTATATCATGAATGACTAGTATCGCTTGTTTAGTTTTCAGAAAAATGCTGGAGGATATTGATATCTACTTATGTATGGATTTTTAGTGATTTTTCGTTTTCTTAAAAATCCAGTGGGTAAAGAAAGACCAAAAATCGATGGAATTGATAAGATGATATAATCCCATATCGACGTCCACGTCGCGTTACACGTTATTGGTCGCGACCGCACGTTCCTCGACACGATGGTCATAATTTGCGGGCCCTTCATTAATACACATTTCTGCAATGGATAGTAATAAAATGGAGAAGAACTCGTATTCTCTGTATAACAAAGGTTAAGTCAAATGACAGTGATCACAAGGTTACGATTAGAAATGGCTTCTCGATTTGCATTCTTTATTACGCTTTGCAACATCATTTCATTTCGCAATCCTGCCTCGTGCCCAAACACACTTGTACTTTTTGATCGAACAACTTTTTCGCCAATAGACACGGAATTTCCGGAATTCTCTTTTAAATGTTGGAGAAATTGTTATCCCTTGTTATTGCGACAGGCGTGATGTGGAGTCGTCGGTTGTCGTCACAAATGGAATATATGGATTGGGATGATGTGCATGGATAGTCATTCGAAGCATCACGATGCATATTGCATCCGCCATCATCTGGCGTAAAAGCTTGTCTAACTTACTTATTATTGTGAATGCAATAAGTTTTTCTCTTAATTTATTCGTTGATCATAATATTTGGCCACGCGTATTGCTGCAAAGACAATTTCGTAAAGAAAAAATATAATTTGCGGCTATCACATGCATGAAAAATTTTATCGTTGCTTATCAGCGATCATTCGTTTGCAATTGAAATTTAATTGGAATCATGTGTGTGTGTGAATTAAGCGTGCCACACCTCGTTGTTTGCTCGTGAAACGTTTATGATGGTCGAGATAATTTAACAAATCTCAAAATTCATTGGGCTCCTGTTTCAAATGAAAATTAGAATTTTTAACGTTCTCGTGATTAGGTAATTAATTATTTGTTTACCTTCATTATTTTTCATTATTACACTAGTCGGTGTGTACGTGCGTAGCCACATTTTGATTGACATTGTCACGATATTTTTCCTAAAAAGGGATCTCCCCAGAATCGTCGATTTTTACGCAGGTAAATTAAGTAAATTAAGGTTATTTTTCGAAATAACCTTGGAGCCTCGATGCCGGAATTCTTAAACTCATCTTTTGACAAGAGCATACTCACGTATCCCTTCCTTCTTACACGATTCTTTTGACAACATTTTTATCAAAAACGCATAAGCGCATACAGTATCAAGTCACAAGTTAATCCAGCTGACCTAATAAGAGGAGACACGTGATGCAACTAAATATAAATCAGTCCAAAACGGGATAATATGCTTGGCGTGACTCGCATTTAATCTCCCGTGACATTTGTGCGATGGTACCCGATTATTTCTTGGTCTTCTAGGAAGAGAGCATATTCATTTGAGTGGTTTTTTTTAATTATCATTGTGTTCATTAATCTAGCGTGAAGACGCACAAGGAATATTCCTAATAAAAAATCTAGAACACAGGTGAAAGCGATAATATTATCAAACAACGGAGTATTCACCAGATTGCTTGTTCCATAGATACAACAATGTGTATAATTTGTTTGTTTAATACAAAAAGTCCCCGATCTCGTTGCTCAATTCTACCATGGCACATAAATCTCCCGGGAACTCCGGAAACCTTGTCTGTAATCGTCTTTGTCTACGCACATAGTAAACCAAGTACAACCTACATACAGGTATCATATAGGACCCGGGTGAGTGGGGTTCTAATTTTGTGCACCGGATAAGAACTCGTGAAAATGACGGATATGTCATGTTTTCTTGTGAAACTGCTGCTCATGGGTTTGTTTGCTATTTTAATTAAGACACCTATTTCCATTTTTGTACCACTCGATCGACGGTATTCAATTACGGTATTAGACTCGGAGGAATTGGATCTTATAATAGATTAGATCTTTCGAGCATCATGTAATACTGACAAAACAAGTATCAACTTTAAGCAAGAGGAAATGGCCAAAGGGAGAGGAAAAATGTGCGATCAAGGGTTTTTCATCCGCGTCCGACCGACGATCGTGGTCAAATCATTAAAATTCGAGAATGTTCCAAATTGTTTTTATTCTTTGGACGCTATGCTATATTCGAAAAGAACTTATAACTAGAATCAACGATGAGTCTCCCGATTATTTATTGGGTATTGCCATAGAAATCTCATTGCGGAAAGATTTGAAGTGAGAATGGACTTTTGATTGTAAACGAGTAACCAATGATGGAAATCAGGCGAACCAAAATCGTGAAAGTGTGTCAATGAAATCAGCCAACATGGAAACGATATATAAACGCCAGTTCACCTTTTGTTTTTCTTATTTTTCTGCTTCGATATATCATTTTAAAAAAATCATGAATTTTACACATCCTTGACTACCTATTGGATCGACCAATTCCATCCATGCAAATTCGATAAATTTCGAATTCACGATGAACACACCATGGCATTATCCATGTCGGTTGCCGGCCTCCAAATCGGTGGGCGAGAATATCCGTGCGAAAGGACATGACATGGGATTATTATGCATATTTCAGAATAACGATCTCAAGCTATCGCCGATTCTCTGTACCAGTGAGAGAATAGAATACATGGGAAAGAGGATCACTGTTGATGGTCACAGTATTTCGTAGGGATGTATTATTGTAAAATATCTGCATATAATAAATTTCATACATCAAACAAAAAATTGGAAATGGTAAATGTGAATTCGAAATAGAAAGTATATGCGTGGAAATTTACCTGAATACAAACGGATGGACGTGACCATTATTACACGCATATATTTGTGAAGAACCACAATAAACGAGAATAAACTTTAAATATTCCCAAGAATAGAGTCCTTTTTTAAGCACACGTGCCGCATACTCACATCGAGAACCATGACAAAAGAGAGCTAGCGTCTTGAAGTCTCAAGGTTACGCCGAGTCTACTGTATGTATGCAATTCAAAGGGCCAACAAGAATGCCCATTTATTCAAGTGGATAACAGGCATGACCTTTTTTATTTGGGAGACAAATCGTCACATTTGACATTAGCTTTGGGAGATGTCATTAATATGTAATATGTAATATGTGATCACATGCCTTAAAATATTATATAGTACCTACTGGGATCTCGGAATTGTGCAGTGATCAACACCTCTGCCATTCTATTTAGAATCACATAAAAAAAATCAAAACCTTATTGAATAAAAAATCACTTATGACAATGCGTCACACTCATTGCAAGATGTGCAAGCACCCTCATCGTCGTTACAGTGCGCATATAAATTAGTGATCATGATTATTATTATTTTTTTTTTATAAATACCCGACCTTCTCTCACCTTCTAGGACAAAAAACAAACGTTTCCAAATAAAATTAGCAGTAACTTTTTAATACCACCATATTTAACAGACAATGATGGAAGATAATAAACAAATCGATAACATTACCATAGAGCTCCCGTTCCCCCCAAGCGTTGATTTGATCAATCTAATTAGCAAAAAGAGTGCAGGGAAGATTCCCGCGAGATCTCCAAATGCCTTCATAATTTACCGAAAAGTCTTCGTCGAGACTGCCAGACGCAGCGGTTACAGTCTTCCGATGACCAACATTTCCACGTTGGCATCTAAACGCTGGGCGAATGAGAGTGACGAGGTGAAAGCCATGTACAAAATTATCGCAAGTGATGCACTGGCTGTTCGTAACGATGTCTTCCCGAAACATGGTAAACGTAAACGCAAGGACAGATGGAACCTTGTAACTTTTGATCAACCTTCGACGACCGAGGAACGAAAAAAATCGACCAGCAGGGCACAGCGTCCGGTTGTTAAAAAGTCGGCAAAAACTTCTTTACCAAAATCGAACTCTTTGTCATCACCAAACAACCCTGAGAATTCCATGGACGATTATTCAGCTCAAAGCTTGACCCCGCCAATGAAGACTCCATCTCTCGAAGCTTCTCGTGTCATGGTGGACGAAATGGGATTGACTGTAAGATATGCTGAATCCGATGTACTTTCAGATGAACCAAATCATGTCCATACGGCCATATTTTCCGAAGATGATTCCAATGTCATATTCTCAGACAGGCAAAATCACACCGTTGTGTATTCCGGTAGATCAGATTCTGTGAATGTTGTCAATGCCACCATGTTCCCAAATGACATAAATTCCATATTTCCAAGAGAACAAAATCAAATAGATACCGTCAACTCGGTCATAACTTCAAACGAACAAATTCACATAGACCACGCCTATGGCTTTCCTGCCATCTCACCATTGCAGGTTATTGCTGACGATTCAAGCTGTGAGTTAACCGATGATTTTCTCTCGCAATTTTGGATTCCGAACGGTGTATGCGTCCCACAAACACCAAATTTCGAACAATATGCCTCGAGCATTAGTAGCGCCGAAGATGGATTACCAAGTTCTCCCTTGATTAGCAATGAAGTCTTTCCTATAATGAACAACTGCAACCTTTACGTGTTCCCAAGTTATCAGGAACAAGAATCGAACCAAACTACACCAACACATGTATTCAAAAAATTGAGTTGTAACCCTTCAACATTAACGACACCCAAGACATTATCAACATATTCATCAAACAGTTTTATATGATGTTTATTGCGAAAGTGAATGATTAAATTCTATTGTTATTATTATTATTATTATTATTATTATTATTATTATCGTCATTATTACTATTGCCGTCATCGGTATCTTTCGAATTTTCACCTTTAGACAAACTTTGATTTTTTATTTTTTATTTTTATTTTTTTTCAATAGCATAGACTTTTTTTTTTTTTTTTTGTACTTTTAGCACAACACAACACCCGACAATCCGAGAAAAAACAACCTACCTCACTATGTCAATCTCTTTAAGGCGAATTTATGAGTGATACAAAATTAAGACATTAAGTTCTAAGCTTTCACAATTCAGATGATGATAATACAATTCGTAATAGTTAATAAATCAATAAAAAAAAATCACTTTGAACGCTATTCGATCAAGTCTTTGATAATGTGAATAATTTTGTTTCGATCATCATTCTTGCAAATCATAGGTTTCAGTAATACCTGAGACATGGTTTCAAGGGTATGTTTTGTGACCAGGGTTCCCGATCATCTTCACACCCTTCCGACCGACAGCTCCTTTGTGTGTGTGCACCCTTGTGTGATATCCCGTGTTTCCTTCTCATTCTTTTATCATTTATAATGATGCATGTCTTTGTGATAGTTACACGGGCAATTCACACATATTATATGCAGTTTGATGAAGGTGAGTGACGGAATTGTTTTTGCCGATAGAAGGACGTGATCAAGAGATGACCAAAGAAAGAATGCGCCAAGGGGGAAAAATTACAAGGCACGAAGGGATTTCCATTTATTTGTCAGATGCTTCTAACCATATGCAAAGAATGTTCTTTGTCAACGTGCACTACCAAAGTCCCAAGAACTCGTGGATGATAACAATGATGAATGTTGTTTTAGGATCTCAGAGATATTCTTTTTGGAAATTTGGCTGCTCTCTCGTGAGCGCCTGTCGGTAAAATGGACTTCTAGCAAGGATTTCTGACTTCCCAAAAAAGCCTTGGTCCATTAATTCGGAATTTATACCTTACCATGACTTGAAAAATATCGGTAATCGGAATATTTATCCCAAGAGAAGGCATCACATATGGGGATAAGCTAATGTCGCATGACCTATATCTGGAAGTGAACATTGTGTGCAAATCTTTCGAATAATCGTTTCGTAAACAATAAAAATAGTAAATGACGACCTATTTTGAATGCTTTCATATCTCACTATCTCACGTGGAAATCGGGTACATGTTCGTGTAAATGAGTGTCGCACGAATTCCGCCCTCGTCCGACATCCAACTCCGAGCGCCCACACGGAAATGGGAATAGATGACCACGCCTAAATGGAAAATAAAAACAGGGAACGAAATTAATGTAATTAATGATACACATGTATCTGAGCACAATATTAATATAATAATAATACTATTAATCGTACATGGGTCCTCAATGAATGACCAAAATATTTTGCTCTAAAAGACAGGTGAAAGAAATCCGAGAGTGTCGATTGCATAGGAGAAAACGAGATTGTCGATTCACATGCTTTTCACGTGATCTCATTAATGTTCGGTGATATGATTTAGCATTAAAATAAAATAAAGAATAGCATGAATAAGGTTATACAGTACGTGATGTGGAATAATCATTGTGACACAAATTCCAAAGCTTAATTCCTTCATATTTTAATTCACATCGTCAAATGACAAGTCCAATAACATTGGACCATACAAGGATCGCATATTTCAGGTAGGATTGTACAGATGGGTAGGTACACAGGTGGGAAGACCCATGTACGATAAGTGTCATGAGTGGTGGGACATTCTTTCTAGTGCATGGAATTGCTTTCTTTTGTTCGCGAGTCGTATGCACGTTTTCGGCACCACAATTTGTTCTATTTCATAATTGTCAGATGCCATGACATGTTTCCTTTTTCTACCAAACACTGTACTCACGAGGCTTTTCCAAAATCATGTCTATTGTTGATTGTTCCTATCTCCCCATTGCATGGAACTTTAGGAGAGCGGGCTGTGTGGCCAAATCGAACGCGATATCCTTTTCCAAAGAGGGATTGGTAAAAGAGTCCATTTTGGGGACATACCGTATTTCCAATAAACACGAAATTCACGAATAATTTACTCGGTGGCGCGTAAGAAATCCTTATTAGTTTTCAAGCCATTCTATTTTTTACGAAAGAAAGAGTTCAAAATGGGCAATTTAACTCGCGTTCAAAAAAAAAAAAGCAATTTGCACAGACGATATAATTGGGAGAGCATTTCGCATCGTAGATTACAATCAATTATACCTTAAATCCATATGTGTCATGATTAGGTGCATCAAATGACAGATAGAGGCATGAATTACAAATAATGATCAAAGAAACACCCGACACTGTACATACAGTACAGTACGATATATTATTAGTATATTGAATCCACAATCAGAGTATCTGATGTACCAGCACCACCACCACCACCCATGAATGAGCGCAGCATGAAATTGTGCATTGTTGCGTGTAAAATCAGGGGATAACTTTATCTCTTGACAATCAAAATTTTCCGCATTAGATCATCTTTTTCTTTTTCTTTTTTCATAATGGAGAGATCCGGTGTCCAGACGCCTTTTCGCATTCGATTATTGCTTGTTTGTCTTCATTCAGTGATCATTTGTCTCAAATAATTTTCTGGATTTTAAAAAAGCTACCCTCCTTTCTCGTTGATCAATCCCGTTCATTCGTTCGTTCTCAAAACTTTCCATTTCCGTCTTATTTCTTAAGCATCCGTGCCAGATTACTAATCCGTGGGTTTGGCCAGGCACAAATACTTCCTTGCGGTGCATGTAATACTTGTGTGATCAAATGGAAGTATCATGATTTTATTTAATCATACTGCAGGTGAAACGGATTGAATGATTGAATACATCAAGTTGATGTTAACTTGCTTCACCCAAAAAGCAAACGATGATAATTTCCTGACATCATCATTGCGCACGTGAACGTTCGTCCTACGTACTGCTCATTATGGTATTGTACGGTAGTCATATGATGCCCCATGGTTTGAAATGAAACTCTAAATGAAAAATTTATCAAACAAGGACCTTCTATATAGGGGTGTCAATGGATCCAGAAAGTCCAGGCTAGGTCAGGATTTTGCCGACCTTGCGCCGGGGGACCCTTGTTCATCACATTATTAGAAACTTTGTAATAAACGAAATTGCTTCCGGATTGATTAACCTCCATCTTCAGCTTTCAAGAGAAAACCAGAGTTTAAACAAAATAAGAGAGAACCCCGGTACGTAGATGGTTGGTTTTACATGATTGTCAAATTTTCCTAATATAGAGTGAACAATGACAAGGGTTAAGGAAGACCCGGAATACTATTTCATTTATTGGCACAGCATGCAGTAAATGCTACAAACGGGACAACGAACCACAGTATAATTCATGTTCGAATCCTTTCTATTATCCAATTGATCCCATACAAGGAGAAAGAAGTTTGACCCAGATGTGTTTCTCTACGCACATACGGCATGGTTAACGTGTGTTACACATGACCCGTAAGATTACCTGTAACCTGTTGATCGTTTGGCTGTTTGACGTTACATGTTACGATAAGATTACTGGAGCCCAAAAATCAACATTACAAATTTTAATATTAACAATCGGTCACACGCATAGCAGCAAATTTCTTATTGTGTCTAGAATAAGCTTTTGTGTGCATTAAAAATCAAAGCTCACCAATTAATTTACATATAATGATCATTTAATGAATATCAATTTTACCTTAAGTAAAAATACAAAGGCCATGCTATCTTCTGAAATAATAAATTTACTTGGATGTGACAAAGAATTCGATATTGATTGTAAAGCAACTTTAATCATTTGCAGGCATGAATTAATTGCACTAATTTTTTGGTCGGAAACATTTCCTATTTTTTTCTTTCTTTCTTCGCACTCCTCTTATTGTTTTGGTTATTTGGCGAGATTACGGTTGGTCTAAAGGCTACCCGATGCGCAATTATTATTTCAATCTTTTTTTTCACGCAAGATCGATATTTGGTTAAAAAAAAATTTTTTTTTCCTGTTGGGATGACTTTCGGTTATGTACGACCATTAATTACTGTTTAAAATCATTTTGGTCATAACATCTTCCATATACAGTACTGTAAATTAAAGTCGATCATTTGAGATATTTATCCACTATGTATTAAGTTTGTGCTAATTAATCCAACATTATCATAGGTGGTTTTGATTTGTTTGTAGTCGATTAAAGTCTGGCACATGCGATCAATGAGATAATGAAATACGGTCCGATAAACGACCCAGGCATTAAGAAAAAATTGTCACGAATACAATAATTGGTACGGCTACAATTTAAATAAAGAATTCGATTATCCTTTTAATTACCACTACCACCACCACCACCACTACTATTACTACTATTACTACTATTACTACTGCTACCATTATTATCATTGTTATTACATGAAATATTCAAAAATGGCGTTAATACGACGATTGTGTATTTTGACTTTTATGCTTATGTACACACGGGTGACAGAAAATTAGGACGTCTATCAATTTTTCATAGTCAAACATGAAATTTCTGTGCCATACGAAAGTTATCATTTTTTTCTAATAAACAATTTTTTATTCGTACCAACATTCAATTAATCAATTGCATCTCTTGCAAAAATGTATATTTTTTATTTCTTAAAAAATTTTTAAAGAATTTTTTCCTATATATTATATATAAAAATCATAAGATTACATTCTAGTGACCAGGTCGGTTTCTATAGAAAAAGTTTTTAGAAAGTAAAAGCCTAATCATATAAAATAATTATATGGCACGAAAATTTCGATTTTATTATAACAAAATTGATAGGCGTCTGTACTACGTATAATTTGTCGACATGAACAGCAGCATATTGTAATTATAATTCGTCGAAATACAAAAAATCCAATATATATACAATATATTACCATAAAATAAACAACAATGTTTAAGATACACCACACATATAATCATTTTAAATACGATTTTACACGAGCTATAAAATTAATAATTCAAAAAAATTTTTTTTTTAAAAAAAATACTGTTTAAATGTAAATCGAGTCATTTTCAAATCATTCGATTTTATGATAAAATAAAAAACAAATACGCAACTTTGTGTTGTGAACAAACTACAGTAAAACTTTTTACCATAAATAATAATTTGAACATAATTTGAAAAATATGAAATTATAAATTTTCATCTAACATATACACACTATATACTGTATTTTTGTTTCTTTTTTTTGATTAAATAAAAAACATGAAACGTATTATTAAAAGGAAATACATTGCGAAACAAAATTAATTTAATAAAATTTAATCTACACCAATGGATTTTGCAAAAATGAATACAAGATAAGTGACCAAATAAAAATGTTTTTCGGGTATTCTTACTAATAAAATTTCGAGTTACTTTGCCATATAATGTTTTTGTCCAAGCAACAAATACAATAACAAACTTAATTGGTTTATAAAACAATTAAATAAGATTTGATGTTTTTTAATTATAAAATATATCTTTTTTTAATCACTATCATTACAAGTTATCTCAATAATTTAGCTAGCAACAGTACAGCTATTCTTCTTACGAAATTCAAATTCAAAGTAGATATAACTATTATTTCATATTTTCTTTCTTATAACTTTGAATCTATAAAAATAGTAATTAAGTTTTTCAAAAAATATTTCAAAAAATATAAAATCCTTGCAAATGATTTTAATATATATCCTGTATTTGTTTTTTATATCAATATACAAATTCTTCTATATAAGAGACATACTGTATATTTAGTATCATAAACTCTTTGAGAAGCCTATATTACTAGTTGTCATTTATGATTTACAATAAGATAAGTTCTTAACTCTTAAGATATGTTTTCAATTTGATTATTCTTTCATTTTAACTTTTTTTACTAACTAGTCTAGAACCTATTTAATATCAAGTTTCTTAAATAACTTTTGATTTTTTCTTGTAATTATATAGTCCAAGTCACATGTTTATTTTGATTCGTTAAACACTAATTAAGAGTTTATTTATTAAATATTACTTTGTTGTTTTATTAATTAAAATATTACCAACTTTAAACTAAACTTTTTACTTGATTTTTTTACTATTGATCTCATAACATACTAATTACATAACACAATTCTATATTATATTGTTATATCCATCTTTTTATTTATAATATTTTTTGTGTCTATTTTATATATATTATTTATAAGACTTATTATAATCTTTTTATTTATATTATTAATTAATAATAATATATTACATGAAAAATTTTATCTGTATTATGTAATATCTGAAAATTCTGATATGTTAACATTATAAAATTGTAATACAATATATTTATAAGTTATTAAATATAACATAAATAAGTTATATATTTAATTTATTTTATCATCTTATATATATGTTTTTCTTATAATTTCATATATTGTTAACTTTCTTATGTCTTGATTAATCTTATACTTGTCTTGTTTGATTGGGATATTATTATTGACATGGTTAATAAAACTGAAATAATACAATATAAATAATATATTGTTTTTTTTTTTCTGTAGTCAAACAAGTACATACTGTTTATTGAATTTATACAGAAAACAAATAATATATAATACATTGTATTGCATAAACTATTCTACTACCTTAAATACTCATCTTTAACTAGTGTTTCTAGATGTGACTTTAGAAATAAAAAAGGTTGCTCCCTTTATAATTTACTCACTTATGGAGTTCAATCTTAAAGATTATTGCCTGCAGTTCATTACTACAGTTCATCTAAGCAAAATATGGACTACTTTTTATATTCCTAACTATTTTTTCCCTTCTTTAATCCAATCCTAAATAGGAATTTTGTTTTGAGTCTGCAAACTAAGATTCTCTTCCTTATTTTGTACTGTCTTGAGATTTGTTTCTTTTTGTTTTTAATCTCTTGGCTTTCTTTTTCCTCTTCTTTTTCTGCCGATATTTTTCTCTTTATACTTGTATATTTTGGGTTTTCTCCCAGAGCCCTGTAACTTGACACATCTGTC